TTATTATTTATTATTATTAAGTATTGCATACCGAGCGAATCCTTAAGGCAAAACGCAGCATCTAAAGCTGACAATATTTCTTTCATTCCCATCACCTGTCTACTTGATTATTTATTGGTATTGTTGGGAGAAATTAACGTTTGATCTCTCCACGAATGTAAGGTTAAAGGACACATGCAACGAGGTTTGAAAGATTAATGTGGTTGTAAAATAATTTGCTTTGATTCACAAAAAATGTACATCAACTACAAACAATGGTCCTCTTCCTACTAAATTTCACAATCTGACCCAACTAATGTCAAATGATTTGTCAATCACTGCTAATAATATGAAGTTTTCTCCGCTTGTTTTCTTTTAGGTAAAAATCAACATACAAGATGTATGTGCAGCGTTCATTTTCTTTGAACAAAAGCCTGGAACAATTTTGAATTTGATAACTAGTCCCTTGAAAAGTGACTACATGAAGCTCAGCTCGATATCAGAAAAACAGAAGCATCAAATTTCTAATCAGCCTAAGAGCTCTCTAAAAAGGCAGCTATGTACACAATTACTAACTCTACAAGCATATAAACCTTAGCAATAAAATAAATCACACCAGAGCTGACTTAAGGCAGAGCCACTTTACTGGTCGAGGCCTGCGGTTCTTGGCTTGTGGCAGAGGGGATCTGGTAATGATTGACAAACGGGTACATTGGAGTGAAGGTGGAGTCACCCATCATGTCACCTGAATCATTCTCGTCATGTATGGCAGCTCCTCCATAAACACACTCTGCGTATGATGGAAGAACTAAAACAACACAAATGAAAAGAGTTACCAACCACACTTCGTTAACCCAGAGCAGACCCAAAGGCTTAAAGTGAAATAAGTCAAAATAATTTTTAACATGGACTGCAAGTCCTTTTCAAGACAGCATGTGCCTGATCGTGTTCTACTAGCAAATAATTGTTAACAATAAATGATTGAGACCCTATAAGAGTTGTTGATTAAGAATACACGATGGAAGTCAGAAAACAATGACTTGCAAAGTATAGCAAATACTTTTGTCTTACATCTCAATGGCTGAAAATACACAATCTCTACTCTGACCGGCCAATTTTACACCAGATGTCCTCTAAGTTTCCTAAACCAATTACCACAAGCACAACACTAAAGCAAGCACATAATTAATTTGTGTCATAAACAACAGCTGTTAAGTTTGAAACAGAAAATTTTCACCAACAACTTTATAACTTACCCACACCAGGATGTGGCTGAATGTCGTCACTATAGGGTGGAGGGCAGAGAGGCGGGGCTGACGGCTCCACTGGTGAAGGTAGCAACAGGGGCTGATACGGTACCGAGCCAATTGTTATTGGGATTGTAAGGGTGAGGTCCTTGGAGTTCCAACCACCAATGTGAACAACAAACTGCGGTGATAAAAAATATGCTTAGTTACTTGCCCCCCTTAAGGCATCGTATTCTTTAAAAGAAATCCTGTAACAGGCTTCTCAACAATGTACTAAAAAGATCAAAGTATCCCTGTTAGTACATCTGTAAAACACAAAGAGGTCCAGAGACAACATCATTTTTCAAAGCTTTCTTCAACCTAAAAAGGGCATACATGTATTTTAACAAGTAAATGGCAAACCACTCCCAGTGAACAACTCAGTCCTAGCAGGTTATAGGGTGAAAAAAGTAAGTAAGGAAGTGGAGGGGAAAAAACCAGAAATAACAGAAAGCCAAGCAAGTTGGGTAAGTCATCTGTGAGTTCTTCCTGCCTAGATCATGCTCGCCTCTTCCACTTGCGTTCTTTTCCACCCAACATCCCACTAGGGAGTCTGTTCACAGGAAGGCAAATGATTGTTCAAAATTTAAAACGGACATGGCGAGTTCACCTAGTAAATGTTTTTGAGTTATAAAAATTAATACAGATCTATATGTCTAACATAAATAAGGGTGTTTTAACAGGTCATACTGTTGCATCATGAAGATAATCAAGTTTAATAACATTGTGTAATGAATGGGCATTCGTTTGATAAAAGCATTTCAGTATAACTAACTTACTCCGATTGCTTTAAAACGATTTGTGAGTTTACATCTCCAACATAATAAAATAATAATTAATGTATAAAAGACCCTTTTATGATTTTTGTTTAGACTCCAGTCGTTCAACTGAACAATTTCTGCATAATTACACTGCATCTGACTATAGATACAGTCGAACCTCTATTAAGTGGCCAACATTTATTTGGCGGCCAGTGGTCAAAGTCCTGGAAAAATTGTGAGCTATACATTGTAATAAAAACCTCTATTCAATGGCCACATCTATTAAGCGGCCGTGGCCAGCTTCTTGCCGTCCCAAGGGTGATTTTTTTGTTTTATACCTCTACTGAACTGCCAGGAAGATTTGAAGTTGGACGTTTTTAGCCAGATGAAGGTTAAGGAATGACAATGTGTAATACTGTAAAAACACATTTTCAGCAGTATTTATTAAAACAATCACAAAACAAAGTCAGAAGCATTTTAGTTTGTTTGTACAGCATTGACGAGCTAGTGTTGGGTTGACGGCAGACATGTTATGTCTGTACAGTCATGTAATTGTTAAGTCATGGACTGCATTATAATCATCGTTCTACTTTTTCTCCACGTGCATTTGTTTGTACATGTACTTATATAAATTTTGATAAACTGAAAACTGGACCACACCCAACATTTTTGGGTGAACCCCTATTAAACAGCCACCTCTATTGAGTGGCCAGTTGTCTCGTCCCTGAGGGAGGCTGCTTTATATAGGTTCAACTGTATAAGTCCAACAAACATGCTGCAGATGAATTCAATGCAATCACTGCCTAGACTTGTTTCTTCACTGTAGGATACAAGAACATTCACTGGATATATAATTCTTGGCAACATACACTTATTTTTGTACTGTGAAGTACAGGTATAAATGCACATATACTGACACATATACAATTTGTGCAATGTACATTTACATCACACTAGTAGTAAGCCTTACAGTACATGTATCATCCTCGCTGTTTATTGTGGTCTAAATACTGGGCGTGATTTTGTCCATGATCTGACCATTGCATGGACAAATATTGAAAACAAATAAGAATGAATCAAAGTTGTAACTATACAAGTGTAATACCTTCAATTCGTAGGATATCTTTATACAGCTACAACTTGTCATTGTTGGCGGTAGCGAGGGGATTGGAAGTGGTACCATCTCCATGTGGTGATCTCCTATTCCTTGAATCTCATCTCTTTTCACTGAAGCTACTTTTTCTACCCTACGTTTATTTCGTTTACCTGAAAAAAAAAAAAGAAAGTTTTTTTTCATGTACTTTAATTTATACTTTCAGTATACACACGTTCACTTGACTTTATGTAGATTCCGAGGTAAACTACTTTTTTCTAAAAATTTGCATGTACATATTTATTATTTCTCAAGAGCCACTGAGTATCACTTGACAGTCTTAAAAATCTTGCACTTACCACTTTTAATTGTATAGACTGAGATTTGAAAAAAAATGATCTCCACACCGCAAATCCTGCTACTTGATTGGTTATTGATAAATGCTGAGACTGCGATGTCTTCTCCTGGACAGTAACCACCCCTGTCTGTTTGAACGGTCACACTGAGTGGACCAGAGAAGCAAGCCCATCCATATTGTTCTTCTTGTTCAACTTGGCAGGGATGCTGATTGAGAATGAAAAATTGAGAAATTTTGACAATTAAATTATGTCAATATCAAACATCTAGTCTCTTAGAGGAACTCATATATTTTTTCATTGTGTAAAATAAGTTAACCTGTTTCCACTTCTTATGGTCTTCACTATTTTAAGTATTTTGCATGCAAACCTTGGAGTTCAAAAGTTAATTCAATATTTATTCCCAATTGTACAGTCATTTTTACATTCAATTGTTATTTTGTTTTCTTGGCACACCTGTAAACTATGTAGCTGGTATGTCCTGTAGACTCTGCTCATCAAGTCTATGGGACGCACCATTACCATACACGTGGCTAAATGTGTGACCAAGTAAAATAAAGAATTGGTTCATGCTTTGCGTGTGTGTATTGAGTTATGGATGTACTCTGTAAATCTGAGATAAAATAAAGTAAGTTGTGTATGTAGGTCAGTGCTTATCTCTGGTTTCTGTTGAATGAAGTGACTAGGACTATTTCTGCTCCCACCTGGATGGGATGCTAGTCCATTGCAGTGTAATAACCCTAGCATTAAATTTGCCAGGACCCATTTATACACCTGGGGGGAGAGGCACTATGACAGTAAATGTGTTGTGTCTAGAACGCGTCAAAATATCTCCAGCCACTCGGACTCGAGTCCAGACTGCTCAATGCAGAGTCAAGCGCACTAGTTAACCATGTGGCCACCGTGCCTCCCACAATAGTTAAAAACTATATTACATGAAAGTACATGTATATTTAAATAAATGCAAGCTCTTATACTCACCAATAGTCCTGGTGCTACATTTATATCCACATGTTCAATAACTGTGAAAAAAGCCTTTGTAGAAATGTCAAACCTCCAGGGACGGTCAATAAATGCCCTAAGCCAATATCGCACATGACCAAAGTTCCCTTCCACTGATGAGGGCAAATTTTCACTTGGAATGTGAAACTGAAATGGGAGAGTGTATTCATCTCCAGGTGCTAGCACTGGATTTTCACCAGCTTCATCAGGGGCTGAAAGGTGAAAGGAACATTGTAAAAATACTCTAGCCATACATTAATATTAGAAGACAGTGACTAACTTCTTATTAACTGAGTGAGAGTGAGGTCTTCATGGGAAAATCTCGAACCAAGACCTTGCCGTATTGACCAAGCAATAGTGAGGTCAATACAGCAAGGCTGAGGTTTGAGATTTTCCTGTAAAAACCAAATGTTCAAGGTTAATAAGTTGTTCATTATATGGCTTTTTGCTTTGGTTTTGCAGGCCCATAATCAGCCTGTGGGCATTACGGAAGAATAATTACGGAAGAATAATGCCCTAAATCAGCCAATCAAAGCATGCATTATATTGGCTACAAACCCAGGCAACATAATACCTACATTTATTATATGGCTGTGTCTCACAAGGACTGGGAACTACCGAATTCACAAATTTGATTGGCTGAAATCGATATTGACCGCAGTCTAGATTTTCCCATCTAGACTGGCATCTAGACCAGTTTCATTTTGTGTTGAAAAAGTAGCAAACTCAAATACAAAAATGTTCACCGTTTTCTTTTATTTTCTTCTCAATCATTTATGGAAGTGCCAAAAAGCCTGATGACAAAAAAAAATGTAAAGGGGACGAGCAAATTTCGGCAGGTTTAAGTTAAGCTCATCTCCGTTTGCAAGCAAAATGTCAGCAAACCAGTTACATTAAACGAATTAAAGTTT